GCTAATCCTACCTGAGGATATTTCTCCATTAATTTTTAGAAAGAGTGGAAGGGAGGAGAGACAGAGAGAGAGAAGCATCCATTGGTTGCTTCCTGCACATGCCCTGACCAGGGCCGGGGATTGAGCCTGCAACTCAGGTGTGTGCCCTTGACCTTTCAGTCTGTTCATGGAGCCAAACCAGCTAAGTCAGTGGCACGGTGTTTTTAAAAATGTTTAATGAGTTGTAGAGATTTCGCATAAAAAGGGGGTTTCTACCCTCTCTTGAAAAGCAGGAAGCTGTGGGTGGTGGTGGTGGTGGTGAGGGTGGGTTTCTGTGCCCAAAGAGCACCCAGAGCGCCTGCACTGTTTAGGGGGACCTCCTGGCATTGTGTTCCTTTATTGCCCATGCCCGACCCTGAAGAAGTCTGTTGATCTCATTATCATAATTACACTACATGCTGCACTTTGTCCTGGAGGAACTCACATTGGAATACGAAGTCTGGGAGTGTGTGATGGTTGATGATGTGCTCATGCTCCGCCAGGGGTCTGCGGCGTGGCTTAGTGTGCACGGGAGGGGTGCCTATGGGAAGGGGCTCTCTGCTGGAAGGTGGCTGTTCAGGCAGAGCATTACCTCTTGGGGGGCCCAGGTAGAAGTGACCATCTCCAGATGCCAGTCAGGGAGGCTGAGCAGGACAGTATCGAGGTCCCACCCCTGAGTCACTGGATGTGGGTGGGGGCTGAGGGCCTCAGACATGCAGCTGTATTGAAGAGACCTGGCCAGTGCCCCTGGGCTAAAGAGGCAGGGGTATCTGGCCACTGACACTGACATATTCCCCATTGTCCTTTACACCGGCCAGCCCTGCTCTGCGGTTCTACAGGTGCAAACGTCCTCAGAGGGCCCCTTCCCTACAGCCTACTTCCCGCATCCCTTTTCAGCCAGAATTAGGATGTAGACTGGGTTTCTTAGGACACAGAGGCTGCAGCGAGCTCTGTCCAGGGGCCAGATTAAGACTGAGGGCTTGCCTGGCTGGTGTGGCTCAGTGGTTGAGCATCGACCTAAGAGCTAGGAGGTCAGGGTTCGATTCCCGATCAGGGCATGTGCCTGGGTTGTGGGCTCGATCCCCAGTAGGGGGCATGCAGAAGGCAGCCGATCAATGATTCTCTCTCATCATTGATGTTTCCATCTCTCCCTCTCCTTCCTCTCTGAAATCAATACAAATTACAAAAAAATTATTTAAAAAAATAAAAGACTGAGGGCTTGCTTTGCAGCAGGAAGGATGTGGGTTAGACAGAGGGAAGAATTTCCTCAGTGTGGTGCTCCAACGTTGGTATGTTCCCGTGGGAGACTGGACAGGCCAAGCCTCTTCCTAGCCCCTCTCTTCCATAATTTACTTCCGTGAGAGCGGAATCCTATGGGTGGAGACGCCAGAGCTCCTCAGATGGCGGGTCCTGGTAAACCCAAAGTATCATTCTCTTTTTTTTCACTTAAAAATACACCCCGGCCTCACTTGGCATCACCAGGACGGACTTCCTTCCTTGGGGGCTTTCCTTGGTAAACGTCGGCCAAGGGCAGGGTGCTGACAGACACCCAGCTGGACTGTCTGAGTCCACTGCCCTCCCTGCTCAGTAGAGAAAAGCATCTCAAGTGAGGACCCAACCAAAGGACACAGCTTGAGGCTGAGGCTTAGGTAAAGGCAGGAGCTTCTGCAGATGTTTCCTCAGCCAGCATAGGGGATGCTGCTGGTCCCACTCCCCGCTCTCCCCTCCCTCACCCCCACACCAGTTGGGCTGAGGTGAGGCCCAGCATCACCTGGCCGGTGCTGGGAAACTCTTGGGTCTACCTGGTTGTGTCTTCACTTGGAAATGTTCTTGTGTCTGATGGGAGGATGGGGGAAGTTATGGGAAGACATCCTGTCTGCCTGGATAGTTAGGAGGAGCTTTGGAAATCCCTGCTTGCTCTGTAGGAATTGGAGGTGCCTATTTGGTTTCCAAGCCGAATCTTGATCTCCACGGAGATGTCTGGAACCAACCTGCACCCCCTGTCAGATCTCTGGCCTCAAAGCAGACAACTTGTCCCCCAGTGTAGGCAGGTAAAGTTCTCCAGAGGCCCCTTTGGTTGAAAACAATCCTTACACCCACCTGAGATGCCTCGGGGAGCAGGGGGTCTCCAGGATGCCACTGGACCAGCGTGGCTCCTGTGGCATGGTGCTTAAACCAAGACACACCTCAGCTCCTGCTCCCAGCCCAGCATAAGGTCTTGACAATAAATGCTGCCACCTCGAACCCTACCATCCACCCAGCCCCCACTCATCCCCTCTCCTGTCTTTAGCCCAGATTTCCCTCATGATTGTGATACCTCCAATGTGGCCCGTGTCCCCAGGCTGCTCCCTCCTCACTCCCAGTCCTACCTGAGGTTCATGTCCCCCTTCAAGGCCAGACTGAAGATGTTGGACAGGTTCCCGCCAGGGGAACAGCCGCAGATCAGGATGGCTAGTGCCTCAATATTGTTCAACCGGAAAAGCTTGCCCAGAGCAAAGGCAGTGAGGGGCATGATGCCATACTGCGCCACCACAGCGATGGCCAGCCCCTTAGGCTTCCAGAAGTGAGCCTTGATCTTGCTGAACTCCATGGTGCAGCCCAACGACAGCATCATGATGAGCAGCATGAATACCAGGATGACACTCAGCGCCAGGTCGGTGGGGCGCTTGCCGAAGTTGGGCGGCAGGGAGAAGTTGAGTGGGACGGACACATTGAGGGCCTCCATCCTCCAGCGACAGCGCAAGGCCGGGAGACCTGCACACCTTGGCTCCCTCTGCTGCTCAGTCCTGGCTGGACACCTTTGGTCACCTCCTGGGCCGAGTGTCAGGACAAATGGAGCTGTTGTGGGTCTGATATGGTCTACTCTGGTAGGCTGTCCAGGCCAGAATGCAAATAGAAGGATTATGCAACTGGCTGTGGCCCCAAAGGGGAGAGCCTGGAGCCTTATCTGCCCAGCCTGCCCTGTCTCTCCCAAATTCCTTGACCTTTCTGGGTGCCACTAATACTCCTTTACCACTTCGCTGCTTCTGGGACCAGGGCACTTATTTCTTTCTTTTGCCCCAGATATTCTGCTCCTGGGTCCCAATCCAGGGCCTGCACCAGTCCAAGTCCAGCCCTCTCATCCTCTGCTCGGTCTTGGATGCCGTAGGAGGGTGCCTTCCCCAGGCCCAGCGAGTCACCTCCGCTCCTAAACCCTCACTCTGGGTGAAACGAATCCAGCGGTGCCTTTCTTTCCCAGACATCAGTGGCACATCCCAAGGGGTTGTGGCACCGTCTAGGGGCGGGTGTGTCACTGGCCTCTAGGAAGCCATGTGTCCACGACTCTTTTCCCAGGAGATGAGGTGCCTATGTCCTTCTTGCCTGTGCTGGGGAAACCCATGTCCTATCCCCCAACCTGGGCGGTAGGGTCCCCGGGGAAGAACACGCTCACCTCCATAGGGAAGAGCCTGCAGGGACGGCTGAGGGGCTCTCAGGAAGGGCAGCTCTGACGGCACCTTGGCTGTGGAGGTCAGTGTCCAGACTCGCTGG